TAATTGGTGATTTATTCGATCAAAAGCTTTCAAATAATCTAACAAAATTAACGCGACCATTTTATTTTCATCCAAAGCATTATGAATATCATCAGTAACTTTTAACAAAGCTGTAGAACAATAGTGCAAATATCTGTAACCGGACTGATGAGGAGTGTTCAAAAAAGATATTAGTTGTTTATTGATTATTTTTTTCAAAGGCTTTAGAAATTGCGCATAAAATACTAATTGGTCTCAGATCTTTAGGACTACTGTGATTTGACATTTTTGCCAATGGGGCTATAAGAGCACAACATTCTTAATTATGCAATAGTTAAAAATATGTGACACGTAAGGTAATATGATTGGACAACAATGCAGCAACATTTCTATGCTAATACTGTCTACACCTACAGCTTTGGATTTTATTGTTAATAGTACAGAAAATATGTCTGCCTCATTGGTTGTGACAAGTTTCAAGATATTTTTATAGGCTAAGTTTTGTCCATAGTAAGACATGAGATCAGTATCAGCTTTAGAATCACTTTTTGAAGAGTCTATGAAAAATTTATTAATTCTGTTTAGGTCCTGTAGAAATGGAATGTCATTATTTTTATTTTTACTATAAATGCTTAGTTCACGTAAGTCTCTCCACATTTCCTTTGGGTTACTATGTCGAAAACGAAATTTCAAATATGCCTTTTTTTCACGACAAATTGCACCGTTTGTGTAATTTCGTAATTCTTTATAATAACTCCAATGTTGCATTAATTTCGTTTTCTTGTATCTAGCCAAAGCGTTGTCTCTTAGTGACATCATTAAACGTAAGTTGTCCGTTAACCATGGGGATTTTTTCTTTTTAATTCTAACAGTTTTAATTGGAGTACAATCATTAAAAATGTTTTAAGAGTATTACTGAGAATGCTCACTTTATCATTAATATTGGAAGATGTATAAATTCTAGTTAAATTGTCGTTTCTTATATCATCATGTAAGCTTATTTCGTCAAAGTTAGTGTAATCCCTGAAAGTGTACATAAAAGGTTACATTTTATCTTTTTTTGCTTGAATTCGTCTTGGAGTCGCCCTTGTTTTACATGTATTTTTATTTCATTTTAAATGTATGTTGACTCTATACTTATGTATTTTTTTATTTTATTTTAAATGTGAAGATATGTACTGATATGTAAAAAATAGTTTTTTTTTACTAAATAAACGATTTATTTAAGTATAATTTTATTATTTGTAAACATATATCATAATCATAATATTGTAATTAATTGTTAACAAAGAACTGAAATTAAGTAGGTTACCTGTATTGACAACTAAGCAATATGAAGTAATTTGTTTGTTTATTCAAGAAGCATTGCAAGGTTTAATGAGATGGGAAAAATAAAGAGTTTACATTTGATTCGAATTGGGTTTTATTAAATATTAAGATAATGAAGTCTGCCTGTCCTAACATTACAATCTTCTTTGCATGTGCAATACTTACTACAGCAATGTAGCATTTACTAAAACAATGGAGCATATACTTCGCTCAACTAGTATTTACTCTTATGTACCTTATACATAGAAGAATGTACTTTGCCTTGGAAGAATTTAATCCATAATTTAATAGCATATCCTATAAATGGGACACTAAGTAGTATTTACTTCAGTTTAAGTGAAGTTGATCTGTGACCAACTTTGGCAGTTAGAAATTAGTAATAATTCAAAAAAATAGCCGCTTTATGAATGTACAATTACAGAAGAAGATACAATGATGTATATAGTAAATTATTCAGGTATGTATTATAAGTGCAACTCACAATATTACATTAATGATAAGCCATTATCTCGGGATAACGCAGTCAAAGAATTAGGAGTTATTTTAGATAAACAATTAAGATTTATTGAACATATAAATTCAATCTCAATAAAATCATCCCAATACTTAGGGTTAATATTGCATAACTGTTCTGATTTCTCTCTAGAAGCCATAAAAAGTATTTATCAAACATTGGTTGTATCTCAGTTGGAGTATGCTTTTTTAACTTGGTCGCAACAATATCATATACACTGTCTAGCAGTGGAAAGAATACAAAATAAATTTCTAAGATACTGTACCTTCAAATCAAATATTCAGGTAACCGATCACAATTATACTAGGCTTTTACATTAAATGAATATGAGCCGATTTAAGTCCAGGAGACATATCAGATTTGAATTTTATCTATAGATTATTAAATGGTCTAGACATATGCCCAGAACTCTTAGAAATTATTTCTTTTAATATTCCTAATAGAGTACTTAGGCAATTAAATATGTTCCCTGTTCCAATTCACAATACAAACTATGGCATTTACCTATTGAAAGAACATTGAGGCTAATAAATCAATTGAATCTTGAGGTTACAGGCTTTTCTTTTAATAAATTTAAGACAATCTGTATAAACACACTGCAGTAATAATGAAATATTACAGGCGGATTACACTACTTTGTTTCTCTTGTATTTTTTAATTTACAATTATCTTTATTATTTATATGTGTTTTGCTTTGTAATGGGGTTGATACTGTTTAAATAAATAAATAAATAAATAGATAAATAAATAAATAAGTTATACCAGTAATTAAATATAGGTTATATTCATAATTTTGTGTTCAAGGTTCAACAAGGAAAATTTTGACAAAATTATTTTCTTGGCGATGTCGTAAAAACAAAGGGGGAATAAAGCCTTATCATCTACTAAGAGAAGGGATAGCTAAAACTTCAAGGCAGTAGTAGATACTTCGAATTCGTAATAGATATTTCTGACTAGCTATAATCCGTAGTATGTTCTTTTCACATAGAGTAGGTACTACATTGTAGGCATACCACCCAATATGTACATGCAAAATCTATACATTTAAGTCAAATCAGATGGTAGTATGCATAAAATGTAGTACATTCTAATACTTCGAGAATCTCCTTTGCACACTCATTCGCAAGTAGAGTATCTACTACAGCAATGTAGCATTTACATTATTCAAGTAGTAATTACTTTTATATACCTTATACATAGAAGAAGGTACTTCTCTTTAGAAGTATCTACTCCATAATTTCATAGCACATCCTACAAATGGAATGCTTAGTAGTATTTTTATTTAATTTGGTATCATTGACATCAACTACTTAAGTTATTAGTGAATGGTTGAGTGAATAATCCTACCTAAGCATTAGAATTATTATTTATTAAATTAAGTAAAAATTACTGCCACCTAGGATTCCAACCTTCAATCAAAAAGGCACAACTCTAACCACTGAGCCAACCTACCCCATGCTTAGTAGTATTTATCTCAATTTAAGTGAAGTTGCTTTATGAGGAACTTCGGCGGCTGCAAATTAGTCATAATGGTCACTTTTAGGATTATGGATCCTAGGAAAGTGTACAAACAGAAGCAGATACAACATTGATGTATATTGTAAATTATTCAAGCATATATAAGTTATGCCCATAATTAAATACCCGGTTATATTCATAATTTTGTATTCAAGGAAAATATTGACTGGATGCAAATTACTTTCTTGGAAATGCTGTAGAAACAAGGGGTAGCCTTGTCACCTAATAAGAACATGGAAGTATTTTTGAGAACCTTAGGTAGTAGATACTTTGAGTCAGTAGTAGATACTCGTGCCTAGCTATGATCTATAGTATGTTCTTCTCAAGTAAAGTAGGTACTTTGTATATAAAATAAAATAGTACATAGTAGATACTTCTTTGTGAAGCATCTACGTTTTGAAATTAAAACACTTTCAAATATATTATTTTTACTAAGATTACCATTGTTTTTCATTTTCAAATAAGGAAAAAATGAGTTAATAAACTAAGACGATAAGTACCTTTTTTAACATTTTGTTTACTTGCAATTATTGAATGCCCTGAGATGAGTGACATTCTGGTACAAAACAACATTGTAATTATTTTTGTTTCCATAAAGTCATTTATTTATTTATTTATCGTCAACTGGGGGTTGCAAATTAAATTGTTTAGCACCTTTTTCAAACCTTATTTTTGTAATTCTTAAACAGATCTTTATCAGTTTTTCAGTTGGATTGTTTGTAGCCTTGATTATTCAGAATTTTATTACCCATAGTATTATATACAATATATAATATCTTAAAAGATCACATGTAGTAATATATTTATTAAGTTGTTTGCACTAAAATAATTCATAAAGATTTAAAGCAGTTTGTTTTTTTAACACTGATAATATCAACAAATAATACAAAAATATCTCATTGTAGATTATTGAATTAATATTGAATAGTTAATATTTATAAAACATGTATTTTTGGTTTAATTTAGGATTAATTAAATTAAGTAACCAATCTTAATCTAAATGGTACCTTTTCTATTTTATTTTGGTAAATAAGTAATTATTTTTTTTTGACAAGGGGGTAGCCATGTGTGAGTTGAGGTAATTTTAAGGTGAAGGGTGAGAAAAAGTCCTTTATATCTCACAGAGATATAAAGGACTTTTTCTCACCCTTCACCTTAAAATTATTTATTTGTTTGTAAAGTTGTATCGTAATCTTCTGCATGATTATTGTTAGGTATGTTAAATTAACCTAATTATATGTCCAAATGTTTCAGATTTTTTTTAATAAGCCACTTGTTACGCCAATGACAACTCATTATGTTAAGTTTAAAGAAGATAATAATGTTTAATAAATAACGTTAACGGATTCAGCATCAGTAAAAGCAATTAGATAAATTACATTAGCAAGTTACACCCACTTATGTTTGATCTCAAAATGTCCAGAAACAATTTAAATACCTACTTAGATTAAAAATGAATTGCGGTGCAAGTATAAAGAGGTTACATGAATTATTATGTTGTTTGATAATCAAAATATTGAATTACGCAATTCCAAACTAAGTAAACATGTGTTATTAACATAAGTTATACCTTCTGTATGGTATTAAACGTTGTAACCAACACAAAAAATCATATCATGGGTTAGAAGTTTAAGTAAAGTAGGTATAATATTATTCTTACCGTGTAATATGATAGTAGACCAGAATTATCATCCAAGACAAACCATCTGTATTGCCATCCTTTCATAACATTAGTCCATTTGCTTAGAGATCCTTCCATTTCCACAATATTAAACAAAAATCATACAATTTCATACAAGGTGCACTGACATTACGGTGATTGTTTGGTGACTAATTTGACGTTTCAGTTTCTAGACATTGACACTTGCGCGGTGAAATGTTAAGGCATATGTAACCAGCATTACGGCCGATTGTATGTTGTGTTGCGTGGGTACTGAGACAGTTTTAAATTTTAAAATATATTGTTATCATTAAAATACTTAAATACTTATGTATATGGATCTTAAAACTTTATTTTTAGTTATTTAATAAAATAAAGTTTAATAGGAGTGCGGTTTCAAAACTTTCTAAGTCCGTATCAAGTAATTTCTCAGAATTAACGAACAACTTAGAACTTCAATAATACTGCAGTTTCCGATACATAATGTACTTAAAAGACCATATACCATATATTTAATTTTTTTTTACAAATAGAAACACAAATATAGCAAAAATAATTTGGAACTTGATCAATTTTGCTACCGCACGATTGATTTAGCGAGTTTTGATGCTGTCAAATAATGATAAAACGCACAAACAAGTTTATAATAAAAATAAAATAATAATCTGGAAACACAACAAGTAACAACTTTCGTCTTATAACAAAAATAAAATATTCTATTAGCAGTAAACAAAAAAAGGGCAGCTCCAGGGTGGGTACCATCCACCCCCGAGTTTAAAATTCTTACAATTTATGAGCATGGGCGCCATCTAAAACAATTGCAGATGGCAAGTCTTATAGGCCGAGTCAAAACGTCTCAGGCTATAGTCGAAAGTCATGGTTAAAAATACAAAATCACAAATCCAGCAGGCGGGGCAGGCGCTCCCCTTGCCTCGTGTGGCGGCGCCCATGTCCAAGAGCCTGTTATTAAAAAAAATGCTGAAAAGTGAAAAGCTATAATGATAATTGCCCCCTCCGAAAATTCGGCCTGGAGCCGGCCTTGATATAAGGTGTAGTTAGCGAACTTTAATTGATTGATGCCAGCTGGTTTTAACCTTTAATTTTACATGGGGAATATCAGTTTTGTTGCAATCAATATAAGTTCAATATTATAAAGACATTTTCGGAATCCCCTACTATAGATAACAAATCCAGATTACTGGATTTATATTTTTCGAGTTATTTAAGATTAAAAATGCTTGTTTTACAGTGATTTTTACGAAAGCTCATCGAGGATATTTACAGAAGTACCATAGACACTATTTTTTTCAAATATCTTAAAAAATTATTGGATTTAAATCAGGTGATCTTGCAGATCATAACACGCAAACCTGTATACTGTTTTGAACCCTCTAGATTTCCTTTTCCGAGAATATTTAAAAACTTTGGTCTAGGATCTGTAATTGCAATTAAATGTTTCAAAAAAGGATAATCTACCATATCTCCGAAACCGTTATTAAAACTTATTTTATTTTGGTCTATATCCCATGCAGCACATATTATTTCAGAAATGTTTCAAAAATATTTCAAACGTTTCAAACATATAACATTTTAAGCACAGGTTTCTGAAATATTTTAGTTAAATATTTCACTGAAAATGTTTCTAAAGCATGATATACATGTTAAACAAAAGGTTACTAAATGGGTTATGTTGTAAAAGGCCAACAATTAATGAAGAATTTCGGATTTGTAAGAAGATGGGACATTTTATTTTATCATGTCCCTGTCCAGCCACCAGCTAGAAACAAGTCTATATTCTAAATAATTATAGATTTGAGTTGTTGGTTTTTGATATTTATGCGTTGTGAACTTGTTTTATGGGAAGCAGAATATTTCTTTAGAAATTAGAATTAGAATTACATAAATAATGCTTGCTTAGGTGGATCTTCATGTGTTGTTTAGACATGAGTATTGTTTTATTATAGTTAATTTAAAACAATATTAATGAAACTATTATTAATCAAATAATTTGTATAAATCCTTTTAAATTTCCTACATTTTGTTTCAGATTAGTGCATTTTAAGGAATTGGTAGAAATGAATCAATTTGCCAGTTTTGGGGCTGTGCCAGTAAAAATAACATCCAAGTTATTCAACATTTCCAGAATAAAGTATTAAGGAACATCGTCGATGCATCCTGGTACTGCCGTAATACTGATCTTCATAGGACCCTCAACAATGCCAATCTAATAAGAAGACTCAAGAGAACCAGGCCTTTTAAGTTAGTTCAGTGATGTTAGATTAAAACAGAGTATAGTGCAGTTAAGTGTTATACGTTAACGGTAGTGTAACTAAATAATTAGACTCTAAAGTACACTATATAGTGAGTAGAATCTTACTTTATGAAGATTTTCAACCCTAGATAAGTTAGGTAAAAATAAAATTGCTAATTGATCTTAATGATTAGATTATAATAATCGTAAATATTTCTTTACTTGGGGCATTTATTAAAAAAACCTAGTTGTTTCAAATTAGTGCATTTAAAGGAATTGGTGGAAATGAAGCAATTCACTTCTATATTTTATGAAATATTCTTTAAAACATATTTATTTGTTTGTTTGAGTTTTGTGTATTTTAAATAAACATGTATATTTTTAAATGTCTTTTTTTAGTCTAATAATATATTAAAGAAAAACTAGAATACATTTCTGAAATATTACTATTAATAGTAATATTAAAATATTTTTAAAAGTTTTCTTATTTTCATTTCAGAAATATTACCGTAAAATATTATATTTAGAGGACTTTTTACGTTTCAGGCATGTTTCAGAAATGTTTCTGGGATGTTTCGTAATATTTCTATAACATTGCAAATGTTTCAATGTAACATTGTTGAAATATTTACGAAATGTGTTTGTGCTGTAGGGGATACTACCTCTTACCTCGTTCTTTAAATATTTTACACTTCTTTTTGTATAAATGTAGAATGTACACATATTTATATGTAGTATCTACACACAACCAGTTGCTAAAAATGCCTTATTATTTTATTTAACGAGTAAATATTTGCGGGACGAGCAGAACGAGGTCCCGCAACATGCAGTTACATAAAACGGCATTTCGTAACGTGTTACATTCAGTATTTTTTCTAATTTTGTCTCTCAAAGAGGAAACCACCAATTTACAAGAAACAAAAACACTCGAAAGGACAGTAGACTTGGTAAACAAGGCAATTTCTGATGCCTACCAAGAAAACTGTCCCGAAAAAGAGAGATGCCAAACGAGAAAAACAGTCTGGTGGAATAAACACCTAGATAGCCTGAGAGGCGAGATGCGAATGCTATTCAACAAAGCCAAATCCACACAAGACTGGACTACTTATAAAAACAAGCTCACAGAGTATAACAAGGAAGTACACAAGGCTAAAAGAAACTCATGGAGGAAGTTCTGCGAAGATGTCTCAGAGACCACCGCCAGAGCTAGAATCCATAGAGTTATAGCCAAAGACAGTACATCTAGTCAAGTGAGATTCCTTAAAAAAAGAGGATAATACCTACACCACGACACTAGAGCAAAGTCTTTAGACTTAAAGATACTAACTCAGGTGCACTTTCTGGCCTCAACTATCCTGACAGGATTGGACTCAGGAGACCAAGAGAGCTACAGTCACAAGGGGATCAGACCAACTCCAATAGACTTGAAGCTGGCCTCCGAGATTACAAGACCACACAGGATACGTTTTGGGTTATTAACAAATTTAAGGTATACAAATCCCGGGGCCGGATGGAATATATTTAATTCTGCTCCAGAAGGATAAAGATGTGTTAATGCTGTATTGCCTGGATACATATCCCAGCAATATGGCAAAAGGCGAAAGTAGTCTACCTTGCCAAAGTAGGTAGGGTCACAGACCAAACGCCAAAGTTATATCGACCCATAAGCCTATCCACCTTCCTACTTAAAACTCTAGAAAGATTGATAGGTATATCAGGGACGAGATACTTAAAATAAATCCGCTCAACCCAAATAATATGCATACCAGCCAGGAAAGTCAACTGACCTAGCGCTGGACGATCTAAACAGGTTGCTTTCAAAGTCAATAGATGACAAAGAAATCGCGATAGCCACTTTCTTATATATCGAAGGAGCTTTCAACAATGCCTCAACCAGGTCAATAACCAAGGCTCTAGAAGAGAGAAACGTCCCAGTTATAATATGCCAATGAATCACTGCCTGTCTAGAGAACAGGATTATTTTATTTATTTAGGAGAGGCAACCATATAGACAAAAGTTGCATGAGGCTGCCCACAACGAGGAATATTATCTCCAATGCTGTGGTCAGTTCTTGTGGACGACTTACTCAAAACATTGTCCAAAGAAGGCTACCAGTGCCTAGGATATACAGACGACCTAGCAATTATCGTCAGGGGACGATTTGCAGGCACAATCTCGGAGTGATCTCAAACAGCTCTAAACACAGTGAACAACTGATGCAAAAAGGAACAATTGTCCATTAACGCACAAAAAACAACAGTTGCACCATTCACAAAAAAACGGGTACTTACAGGACTAAGACCACTAGTACTAAACAACATAGTTATCCCATTGGTCACAGAAGCCAAATACCTTGGAGTCATATTTGAGCAAAGGCTAACGTGGAATCAACATCTCAAAAAACTCACATACGAAGCTACAATAGCTCTCGTAAGCCGTAGAAGAATATGTGGAAAAACTGGGATCTAAACCCCAAAATGACCATATGGTTATACACAAAGATAATAAGACCCATGATAACCTATGGTGCAGTGGCGTAAGTAACTAAAACTGTACAACTAAGTGCAATAGGCCAACTCACTAGCACTCAGCGGCTTGCCTGTCTACGTGCTACTGGGGCTATGCACACTACGCCGACTGCAGCAATGGAGGTATTATTAAATCTCACGCCACTACACATCTTCATGCAAGGAGAAACCAGGTCAGCTATTCACAGGCTAATGCAGGGACAAAACCCAATAGCCAACTACATAGCGCCGACCTCACAAGGCTATATTAGCAAGTAAAAAGGGACAATATTCTAGCTATGCCTACTGATAGAGCCATAACCACATACAAATTTGAAAGAACTTTTCAAATTCAAATACCAGCCCGAGAATCCTGGAAACAGGGACCTCCCGTACAGGCTGAACACGCCTGGTACACAGACGGTTCAAAAACCAAGGAAGGAGCCGGTGCTGGAATCTATGAAATCGAAAACAACGATTTCGCTGAGTTTAGGAAAATATGCAACAGTGTTCTAGGCTGAACTAAGCCATACAACACTGTGCAAGAGAAATATTAAATTAAATATTGTTATATACCTACTCTGAAGGCTCTAAAGGCAATTCTCTAACCAGAAATCAAATCACGACTGGTGAAAGACTGTCTAGAAGACCTGGCATAGCTAAGTAGTCAAAATAAGGTGACCCTAGCCTGAGTTCCAGGCCATGAGGGATATCAGGGCAACGAAAAAGGCCGACGAATTAGCCCGAGAAGGCTCAGATAAGCCCCATGGCAGGCCCCGAACCCTTCTGTGGAGTTGCTAAAGCACTGTGAAAGGCATCCATTAAATAATGAATGCAAAAAGAGTCTTAGGAATGGTGGAACAACTATCCGAGACTGAGGCAGGTTAAACAGTTCATCAAGGAACCATCGGCCAAATTCACGAAAGACCTACTGGACCAAAAGAGTCAAATCGTTAGAATAACAGTAGGCCTTCTTACTGGACACTGTCGCCCCAAAAGACACATGAGTGTCACCAATCCAGCAGAAGAAGCAACTTTGTGCAGGTTCTGTGAAGAAGAATAGGAACCATCATTCCACGTCCTGTGCCAATGTGAAGCTTGGCTGGAATAAGATTTCTAACATTGGGCGAAGAAAAGTCAAATGCATGCAACTATATGCGAGAGCCACTGTCAAAGCTACTAAGTCTAATAAAAAAGACCAGGCTAGACAACATACTCTAAAACAAACGATTCCCACAATAGATCTGAAAAGGTCGCGGTGGACAAGGACAAATAACGTCCAACTCCTAATCTAATCTAAATCTAATCCAGTATCTGGTCATTCTTACCTTCCAAACGATCAAGATCAAGACTTTGGTCTAATTGAAAAAATCAAAAAACATTACAAAAATATTCATGATTGGGTGCAAGTGGTTCTTGACACCAAGAAAAAAATCCGTTTAGACTAGTAATTATGACATCCAGCGACTTTTTGTTAACAAACGAACTAAAAAAATCATTAACCAATTATAAAAAACGGCAGCTGATGAAAAAGTTGAGTGGTTACGTATACAGTGGCTGCGTCATGAGAATTATCCAATATAAATATTCCAATAAGTTGTTTTATTTAACGAAGTTAATGTAAAAAAACGGGACAAGCAAACTTTTCAAGAAATGGTAAAACTTCTTCCTTTGTTTGAGGGAACTAAGTCCATACAAGAAAAGAAATACCAACATTTGGTATCTTTGTTGTACTATATTCCACCAGTAAACCATGAATTTTATCGTAAACTGATTCACAATGCACGTGTCGAAGAAGACCCGGATGTTTTTAAAGATCACGGGAGGAAGAAAATAAATAAAAGACTTTCAGTTAAGTTTTGTTTAAAAATGTCTTATCATTTTCTTCAAAATAAATTATTACGTTTCAAAATCACTTTTTATTTCGAAGTAAAAAAAAGGCTAAGCAAAAGTGGCCCAAGCCACATTCAAAATCTTGTTTATCAAAAAAATGGGTCCAAAAACTATGAACCCTAACACACACCTGACTTCAAATAAATTTAAAAATTCTTAAAAGCACTTTTAATAAAGACGTGAATAATATTCAGAAATTTTCATAATTTTCTACTGCATATTTCTTCATAATACATATTTTGGGCTCGGGCCACATTTGCGCTCAACGCCTCAAATATATGATTTTCAAATTTTCTATCAAAAGAGGTTGTTTTTAAACCCCTAAAATAAAAGTTGCATATCAGAGGAAGATTAAATTTTTGAAGGGGAGGGTAAGATAAGTTTAATTAAAAATGTTTATCCAAATCGGTGTAATAAAACTATTTAATCACAATTCATATTTTTATTATAAAAATAATAGAAAATAATATCTTACACTGTACAAATAATACCATACTTTTGCGACTCTTTCCTTTTTTTTTTAATAAAAAATAAGATGACATCGTTTTTTTTTTTTAGATATTTTCAGATATATCAAGAAACTTGTAACGCTTCTAAAAAATCATAAATTTCTACAATAAATATGTTAGGTTAAAATTAAATTAAGTAGGTAGCTACTCAGTGAATAGAATATGAAAATTTGCATTTGGTTAAAATTAATGTCTCAGTACAATTTGTTAACCCTACAAAAGATAAATTAATAAGAATACACTATAAAAAATAGTTTATACTTTGAATAGATATGTACATATAGGTGCTTCTTATTTTATCTAAATTTATAATGTTTTTGATATCAGTTTATCAAGACATAATGTTGTCATTAATCATTGATTACCAATGACAAAATTTTATCCGGACAATTTGCAAAATACACGTTAAATTTAGCAACAATAAACATAGACAGACAGGTATTTAGAAAGATAATTTCTAGAGCACTATTTAAAACTTTAATGATTAAATAACATGTGATACTCAAAAAATGTTTCTAAAATAGGCCATGACCGATAAAGACATACATATGTACGGTAACCATATGTACTCATTTTAGTAGGACAGTACTTTCTTTTAGAAAATCTTCTTCTGTTCTTCAATATTGTTGCAAGTACGTACAACTGTACTTATTTTTAAAAAAGGGATTCCTCCTCTTTTTTTTAAGAGAAAAATTGTTACAATTCGATAATTATGCTATATCTGGCAACACTGGTCGTCATATACGCAAGCGATACGTTAACGTCGTTATCCGTCTCACTCATATGCAGGTTTAAATTCGTTCGTGGTAGAACTTGTTTTATGTGAGTGAAGACTTTGGCGTTATTAATTGTTGATCAGTATAGTCAAGTATGGTGTAGTGTTGCTACATGAATATTACCTAGGTATTCTTACTTCATGCGTTCAAAAGTATTTAGTTTTACGTAAAAGCGAGCTCTCCAACTATGTCGCCGCTAAGACGAAAATGCCATTTCAATGCGGAGTTACAAAGAGACTATCCGTTTATGAAACCGAAATCAAGAACGATTTCGGATATCGTTTACCGCGAAATTTGCAAGAGTGAAGTAGGCATTTCAAATAGTGGTCGAAATAATATCAAAGCCCATTTATTAAAAAAGAAACATAAACTAGCGGCAAACGCATCGACAATAAGTAACAAGTTGCAGACTTTTTTTAAGTCATCAGTTCATCACAAGTTAGCTCCGAAAACATGATGATTGCTGCCAAAGACGGAACATTTGCTTATCATACTATTAAACACATGCAGAGTTTTAGTGAAAAATATATTTGCAGAAGAATCAAAATTCCGATTGGACGTGTCTATGAAGAAGGTGGATTTTATTAGCATCATTATGGATTCATCAAATCATGGTGACATAAAACTTGTTCCATTACTAGTGCGTTCTTTCGATAGTGAGAAAAGTATAGAAGTTAAATTATTACGCTTATGTCAACTACCGGGTGAAACATCCGACCAACTTCATAATTACGTTTTTGAGGTGTTAGAAAAATACAAGATCTCCAATAAGGTTATTGGATTGGCAGCAGATAATATAAATACTAATTTTGGTGGGATTAAAAGAAAAGAAACAAATAATTTATTCACTAAACTTAACAATTCGTGTGACAAATCTTTAATCGGTGTGGGATGTACAGCACACATTTTGAACAATTGCATTCAAAATGCTACTGATGTTTTGCCAATAGACATTGAAGTATTTGCAGTAAAAATATTTAAACATTTTTATATTCGCTGTTGCTAGGTACACGCTAAAGTGTACACGAATCAACAAATTATATACACGCGAAACGTCATATTGCTGTGGTGGGAGGTGTTTGTGTGAATGCGCCTTGTTTGTTTTCATTTACGCCGTGACTATAGTAGTAGTATTTTATAAACCTTAGAAGCAAATTTCACATACATGAATAAATAATAATAATAATGCCGTGGCAACAAGAAAACGAATCAACGACTACTTGTAGGGCGGCGGCTTCGCAGCCACAAAAAAAATTTAATCTATACCTAGCTACGCCGACCGGCGTAACACCGGCCTGCACACAGCTCACCTACTCTGTCAAGACGTTTCGCCTGTATATAACTTTTTGAATTGGGTACAAGTTAGCGTGTACCTAGACACTGTGTTTTATATTTACACTGTCATGGTAACGAAACTTAAATCATTTGCTAATTTTGTAAATTGCGAATATAAAAAAATCCTATCATTTTCCAAAACAAGATTTTTAAATATGATGCCGGCAATTGAAATGTATGAACCATTGAAATTTTATTTTCAGTCAATTGATAACTGCCCAACGATTATTAAACAATTTTTTAATAATCCCGTATTAGAAGTGTGGATGTGGTTCGTACATAATGTAGCTTCCCAATTTCATGAAGGAATCACCAAAATCGAAGGCAACAAAGTAAGCGCAACAGAAGCAGCTTTAGAATATTTTACACTAAAAAATAAATTGGAACATCGTTTAAATGAGGTATTTTTGCACTCAAAGTAAGAGAATGCCTTTTTAAACTAAATAATGATGGACAAAGCAATATGGAGGATTTTAAAACTCAAGTGCAACTATTTTATTTAAATTGAGTGTCCTATCTGAACAATTGGAGTTCAAATTTAAGAGAATTAAAGTTATTTAACTGGGCAGGTTTACGACGTCAATTTAATTGGAATGATGTTTCTTAATCTGTGGAGACCTTTAGAGCGAATTTAGTGGAGGTATTAAATGAAGACCAGCTTTTTGATGAAGTCGGAATATTAATTAACTTTTTATCTATTGAAAAAATCAACAAATGGAATAGCGAAGATAAAAATAGTGAGGATCGGTGGGTTAAAATGTTTAAATGTCTTGATGCAGATAGTGACAAGTTGATTAACTTGAAAAAGTTGTGCGAGTTTGTGTTCTGTCTTCCTGATATAGTACTAGCGCTGCTGTTGATCGATTATTTTCTTTTATTAATAATTACTGGAGTGCCGAAAAATCTCAAATGAGTGTTTTCACTGTAAAGTCAGGCAGGTGTACACAAATTTCGACGAAACATGTAACGAAATGTTTCATTTTCTTCACAGTAACCCATCTATGCTCAAATCAATATTGGGTTCAGAAAAATCGATTGGTTTAAAAAAGGGGATGTCAGAAAAGATAATTAATTGCCAAGTACAACAGCGGAAAAGTCTTAGTAACATTTAAGTTTTTTTATGTTATTTGCTTATGTTACTTAATAAAAATTGTATTTTTAAATTAACATATTTGGTGTTTTACTTAATGTTGACATTATATTTCTATAAAATGGCGAATGCGTTCAAAAACAATCTTACTGTACTTTTTTTCAAAAAAAAAAAATATGGTCAACGTATACATATGAGTCATGCATGTGGTAACTTCTGAATCAAATATATTCTGTCATTTAAAAAAGTAAAAAAAAAATAATACCTACATGAGTGATTTTTTCCAAGGCCTACTTTAGAAACATTTATTTTATTATGTACTTTATTTAAAAGTGGCGACTACAGCATCGGGCTAGTCGATACGTTGAAATTTGAAATGCGACAGAAATTATCTAATATATACAGAGAATTTTAATGAAAACTATTCACCCTAAATAATTTTAAAGGTGAGGCATTTATGAAAAAATACAAAAAATAAGAAGGACATCTTTATGCTCATGCATACTCACTCTACTCCCTATGCCCACCCCATGTTTTCTTATTGAAACACATTGTATACCATTGCATTTTTCTACTCTCCTCTAATATTTTATTTCAAAAATGTATAGCTGAGGTGTAAAGTTAGGAAGTTTTTTCCCCCATTTCTCCTTTTTTCTTCTATGCTTTTCCTTAGACGTCCCCTTTATAGAATTTTTCACTTATTTTTGGATTTTTTTTATAAAAGTCTAACCTTTAAAATTATTTAGGGGTGGGTAGGTTTTATTGAAATTCCTCGTATATTCAAATAATATGTTTTGAATGATTTAAATTGTAATTTACCACCATTTTTCTATTATATCTACATATCTAAAGAAAAATATACAAGAAATTAAAATGGCACTAAATTTTTAAGAAGTTTTAAGACACTAAAAATGTATATTTTATAAATCTTATTCTAAAATTGTCGATGTTTCTCTTTTTGTTTTCAAAATCAATTAAAATTTTCAAACATCTGCAAAATTAAAGTAAGGTTTAGGAAAAATATCATGCCACCAACGTTTGAAATTTAGTTATTTTTATCGTCGCAAGTTTCTTTAAATTTTTTCCAACTAAGGAAATATTTACAAAAATTTATTTATTCCTAGGAACGACCAGTCTTTTTTACGAATTCCGTTTGTTAACAAAATTTGAACTGGACATAGCCATTAAATCGTCAACTGGATGTCCAGAGATGTCAACGAAGGATTCTAGATGTTCTGAAGCTTGAGTCTCCATATCTTCTTCTTGCAGTGGGTCAATTATCGGCACCTAAAATCCACAATTTTATATTATCTCCGTAACCTTAACGACCAATGATTTTAAAGAGTTTTATAAAAAAATTACAAATATTAACTTAGAGCAACATGCCTTTATTTGTTGACATTGTTTTTCTTCCGTTTTACTTTTTTATAACAAGCCATCGAGAAAAATAATTATTGGAGTTGGCTGTGAAATTGAAATGTTTTGGTTAGTACATTAACCACTTCCACAGCATGACACTTTAACCTTGAAATTGAAACTGAACGTTTGTGTTAAATTTGTCAAAACTTTTATTAAGAAAATTTAATTTATAAATGGCACTCAACACATAACTAAAAGCAAAAATTATCGAATTTTACGTTTGTACACATGTGAAAATATATATTGCAAGTGGCCGTATATTCAATTCCAGAATGCTTCGCTGATTTTGTTGAAGAACATCTTGAATTAGTATTGACTACAATGATTTTTACAATGTTTTCACATATATTCTGTGCAGTTATTTAGAGAGAGTAGTAGCGTTATTTGAAAAACTGGGTATGGGCGGCCGTCTAAACCTACGTAAAACTATTGAAGCTGTAAGGCATGTTATTGATGAAAATCGAAAAACATCGATTTTAATAGTGGCCCAACAAACAAATTTGTCTTATGGCTTATTCGCTCCGTGCGAAGTCATGGAAAGGGAAGCAAAAGCGATACTAGCGCTAGCTGCGGATAATTCGTGCATTTTAGGGCGATATTTTGTAATTTTCGCATATCAAATACACGTATACATTTTACTTTTATTCAAAAAAGTAGGTAAAAACAACACAATAAGCAACCGGAGTTGCTGTGTTGAAAATTGTACAAATACTAGCAAAAAAAAAATAGTGAAACTTATATAAAAATTTTCACTAGTAAAGTGGAAATTAAATCAAAGAAATAAACGGATAGGTGTACAAAAAGACGAAAAATTACCTTTATTTTTGTGATAATAACAGTAATGCTGGAAATAGTAGACATCAGAAACTTGAAAGGTTTTAAATAAACAATAAATTATCATTTAAGATGTTCTTTAATATCCTTTTATTCTTAAATGTTCATTCAGCAAGGACTAGATTTCAAGATTTCTGCCTTTGATTATAATATGTGGCTGGAATGCAATTTTGTGACTGATGGGAAACCAGTTTTAATCATTCATTCTATGTTTTCTTTCGAACAAAAATGAGAATATAAATAACGATCCTTTTTTTATACATTTTAACTTCACACTATTATTAAATGGTATTTTTTTATTTTGACAGAATAGGCTAATTCTTCAATGACAACTTATTAGACTTAGGCAACTTCTCATACATTTTCCAGTAAATATTGTTGCCTGCCTATATTTTATTATTGATTTTTATTGATTATAGATCATTTTCTTTAATTGAAGCGGGAAAAATATATAATAATAATAAATTAATGTCTTACTTGTTTTACAAATCCATATACTTTTATTAAAACTAACATATATACTTTTTATTTACGAATTCTATTAATAATTGTATTTGTCAGTATAGGCAGAAATAGTCCTTTAATGCTACATACTTTGATTTTCTTTTACTATACGGAGAATGGTCGCACTGCGCAGCTTTCTGAGTGCCTTTTAAAAGGAGATAGCAAACTCCGCCATTTTTAATTACCTTATTACGTATTGCCTACATCTTGGCGCAATATTTTTAATAGGTGCGTTTTAATCATCCGCTTCTGCTTCGGAATTGTCGGTTTTCTTGTTTTAATTTGACAGGTTTAAACGACTAAACCGACAATTCCGGAAGCAGAAGCGGATGATTAAAACGCAACTGATATTTTGCTTGCTGCTGTCAGTGTCAGTGAATATTATTTTTGGAGTCACAGTTTATTGCTAAAGAATCAGTTAGCTCACTCGGACCAGTTGAAAGTTCCAAAATAACATCCACTCCAGGGATACAAATTCATAATACGCAGAAGACTTCTGTTTTATTATAGGCGGTTGTCATATATTGTATTATCCAAGTTGCGCGCAGTGTATAAACTGGAACATTGAGATTCAAAGTGCCGACGCAGAGTAAGCGATCTGATTCTTTAGCTATAAACTGTGTCATAGGAATCAAAATGGCCGCGCCCTATGCCCCGTATAGTAATCAAAGTATGTGTTTAATGCCAAAACAAATTGGCGCTGCTGTCGCGCACGGAGCGAATAGCACATGCGAACTCATTCTTAAAAAGGTGTAAAAAAGACTTACCCACACTGTTATGCAATGTTTTCATAAGTTTCTTTACTATATTATTTTCAAGACAAGTGCAATTTTGTTTCAAAACAATCTAAACAATAAAGATATAACAGTTTTTCTCAAATGAGGCTTTGTTTTATCTTTGTGGATATGTTAATTCACAGAATTTGAGGTGGTGGTCAACTGAAAATCCACATACAACCCGAGGATTTAGATTCGAATCGTGTATTCCCTTTTCATAAATTCAAATAAAATTTTTAGGTTAAATGCTCGTTTCGTACCCACTAAACATAGACACTCACAAACACTTGCTGCAAATTTATTTTCGGCTTACAAATAACTTACTTCGATAAGTATGTGGAAAATTTATTATAATTTTGCAAATGTTAGTTTATATTTGATAGCTTGTTCTTGAACGAACATTTATGTTTTTAAACCATAAATAAAGGTAGATACTTCTCTATTTTTGTAAATTATCATCAAATTATCCAAAAATGTATTTCAAAACTTCATACATGGCATATATCGAGACACTTATCTTCATTTCACAGATTGCGATTCTTATGTAATGTCTCTCTCTATTCGATTCATAAGGTGTCTAGTTCGCACATCATCGAACTCTTAGAAAAGGAATACTGTAGTGACTGTGACAGATCCCAATAAACACAGTTAATCTGCATCGTAACTGGGCCGAAGTAATCTTGCCGTATGCCGGACTCGGCCCGATATAAGGGTGCAGCTTCTACATACAGGTAGGGCATGTCTGCCCAGCCGAATGTCGGCAGACGGCAGCCCACTACATTGTAGCCGCGTTCATATATCTATATATAGTTCGGCCCGTAAGGATGCCTTCCATGCCCGGCTAGCCAAATATTCACCGCATTGGGGCCCGTAGGAATGCCTCCCACGTCTGGAAAGCCAAATATAGACCACATGCGGTTTCTACTTCTAAATTACGTTAAATGGTAAGGTACTCCCGGCTCTGAAGCAACCCCGACAACGGCCATCCGAGTACTCCGCTTCCCGTATATGCGCCAGTGTCAGGCCGAGCGAATGCCGACTATTTGTGGTTTACTGGGATACAATTTGAATTTCTTATTTTCACAGAAAGGTTTTATTTTGTTAAAATAAATCAAAAAATACAATGATAGAAAAAACTATTGAACCACAATTGTTGTGTACATTATTCAATTTTCAGGGTTACAGAAGGTACAGTTGGTATTTTTTGTCCCTAAAATACCTGGCGTCCTTATTTCTTGTTGCCGTCCTTTTCGTACTAGTTACTAGTAGCAAAATTCCTCTATGAATCCGAAGCAGTGAGAACCTACTCCCTTTGAGCTAGTTGTGAGCTTACAGTTCAATTTTTTTTTTGTATTTTTTTGTCAGTTAAAAATTAAAAATATTTCTTGGTTAAATTTCTTCCTCATAAAATTTCTATATATTTTCTTTTCGTCCCCCTTTTCTTTTCTTTAATTTTTAATATTAATTCATTTTTCACAAACAAAATCAAATTCCCTCTTTTTTAATTATTTCGTTACACATTTTTTGAAAAATGTAGAAAAACCTACCCTTTTAATCTTTTTTGCCTAATTGTGCCGCACTGGCAGACATCAGAATTTGAAAACTATTTAAAAGCTAATAGAGACCTTCAGACTTGGATGGTGCTAGCAGGTAGGTATACCCAGATACCCAGATTTGGTCCCTTGTTGGTCCGGTTGGTCCCGGACCTAAATAGGACGTCCACTGGACTTCCGATTACAGTTAACATTAGGACGTCCTTAGAAGGACGTCCTCTGGACGTCCTATTTTGGTCCCGTTTCGACAAAGCGTTTAGTTTTTGGTCCGAGTCCGGGACGTTAATGGGACGTCCAAGGGACGTCTATGGGACTTTCTATGCACTAGCATCGTTGGTCTTTGAATCGATAACTTGAAATTCAACGTTTTGATTTTGCAAGAGTATGAGGACAGAAAACCTAACCTATCATTTATTTTCAAATGAACAACAATAGCTACAATTTTCGGCATTCAATAATTAACTTAAATAACTGAGTTAGATTAACGAAGAAAAAAGAAGGTTATATGGTGTTATTTGTTATTTTTTTGATGCTGGTGGTAAAGTGGTTATAAAGTGAAGTGAGTGTTTTGTGTTGATGTGAGAATAAGTGATGTGTATTGTCAGTAGCCGCTGGCGGAAAGAAAATACCTTAATGGCGGAAAGTTGGAACAAAACTAATTTGGACAAAATTATAATACTCAGTTTTGTCGACACAAGCTATAAGTAGGACACAAGGTTTCATCTTGCCAGCGCTGTGTGTTAAATTTAATTCATTCCTGTTTTTTTTTGTAAACTGAAAACGTTTAACTCTAGCTAGGTTTTTTAGGATAAAAGTTGTTAAATAAAGCTCTTTTATTGTTAACATTTTTGTTATTATTACCCTTTATGGATTATGGTCAAATATCGTCCCTCGGACGTCTGATTTACGTCCCTAGGACGTCCCGCAAAGGTCCCTATGACGTCCTTTTGGGATATCCCAGGGACGTCCCTAAGGGACGTCCCTAAGCTGGACAGAAACGGGACATTAGGACGTCCATGGGACGTCCGATTGACGTCCCGGTACCAAAATAGGACGTCCCTCGGACGTCCTTTACGTCCCTAAAGGACGTCTTTTAGACGTCCATAAGACGTCCGTGTGCTATGTGGGTATATACATAAAAATATAAAAAAAATGTCTGTCCCAAAGAAATATATTATAGTGAATGTTTCAAATGGTTTTTTAGAGGCTGTTCCCCGTTCATATTCTGGAATGACTGGTGATTTTTGTTTTAAAATCAGTTATGATATCGTTACCTTGACATGTAAACCTTCTAACTCCATACGTAATAATTTTACAGAAGAAGCAAAAAACCTAAAAGACCCAATGATCTAATTAATTTTTTTTCTTCTTCTAATATCTAAATGAAACGGTTTTTTGCTTCTCCTGTAAAATTATTACGTATGAAGTTAGAAGGTTTACATGTTAAGGTTACGATATGTATATTTGTTTTGTTTGTTCTGTTATACAAGGTGTTTCTCTGTATCTGTAAGGTGTGGAGGGTGGGCTACCCCCACGGCACTTAGGTTTTGTTAGGCCGATTGTACATCCTCCTAAGATGATAGGCACCTCCTAGCTCGTGAGCCAGCCTACAGATTTAATGTAGTTGACAACGTCGCCAAGAGGTGCTTCTCTTATATTGGCCAGTGTTAGCCGATACTCGCCGAACACAAATCTTCTAATAAATGAGAGCGTCGAGCAATCGTAAAGGATATGCTCGATGGACTCATCTTCTTGTTCGCACCCTCTGCAGAGTGCGGATTCTGACAGTCCCATGATATGGAGATGCTTCCGTACTTGGCAATGACCAGTCAGAATGCCTGTGACGCAATGAACAGTCAGAATGCCTGTTACTAGGCGCAGATTCTGTCTAGCCATAGTCAAGTATTTGTTTGATGCAGTGTTTTTAGGATAACTTAAGAGCTTCCTGACAACTCTGCAGTTTCTTGTTTCAACCCATCTTTCCTTGAATTTCTCAAAGAAGTGTTCTTTAATTAGGTCTGGCACTACCAATTTTGTCAGGCCAATAGAAGGGCCTGGTCCAAAAAGTAGTTGGTTGTCTGCTTTCTTGGCTAGTAAATCAGCAAGACGGTTACCTTTCCATAAGGCATAGCCTTTGATTCATCTTAAGGTGACATCATTGTTGATTGATTCTTTGGCCAAAGCTTCGTGACGTTTTAGTACTAATCCTGAGTAAATTCGTAGTATGTTCAGGGTGGTTATCTGTATAGATGAGCATGTTCCTTCCAGCGTTATTCTTTCTGGTTATTTCTTTTGCTGCTATGAGAATCCTCGTTAGCTCTGTTTGAACTACACTGGCACTATTGCTCACAGCTCATTTTATGTAGGAGTATATTCCACATCCTGAGCCTTGTTTTGTTTTAGAACCGTCGGTGTAGATATGAATCGTACCTGTCACTTCTGGCTCTTCTATTTGTTCTATAACAACTTTATATGGCTTATGGAAGATATATCTCGGTAAAATGGAGTCCATGTTCGCTTGAAGCAGCGTATCGAGCGCCTCCTGCCAAAAGTGACGTCTCGCCTCACCAGATCCTACATCAGGTTCTATTCCAACCGTGCGGAGGCATGTCACTGTCGTCAGAGCAACCTCCTTGATGTAAATATTAAGGGGAGTGAGACTAAAAATGACTTCCATCGCTTTGGTCGGTATTGTTTTCATGGCTCCTGTTATGTTGAGGCATGCTGTTTTTTGAATTTGTTCTAGTTTACGGATAGCTGTTAATTTTTGAGTTTTCAGTACCCAGACAACTGCACCGTATGTTATCATAGGTATTATGATAGCCGTGTAAGTCCATACGACGACTCTGGAGGAGAAACCTCAGGTGCGTCCCACGTGTGGGATTACTTTATTATCAGATAAGATGGACTCCATTAATTTACAAACAACATATGTGATACTAATGGGTCGATAATTATTTGGATCGAGTTTGTTGCCTTTTTTAAAGATTGGGGTAACTGATTCTATTTTCCAGATAGGTGGTAAAACGTAATGTCGAAAAGATAAATTCATTATATCAGAGAGGGGACAGGATATGATATCGGCAAACTTTTTTAATAAGAATGGAGACATGCCATCCATGTCGAGAGATGCGTCTGCTTTAAGTTTTGAAATTTGTTTTTTTACAAGATATGGTGTAAAATGAATGTCTTCAAGACTTTCTAATATGTGTTGTGAGGTGCACTCTGGCAAAGAAGATTGTGGATGATCCACAGAGAAAACCCTCGAAAAGGTTTCAGATAAAATTTCAGAAGTTTCTGAATTATTTTGACACATAGTTCCGCCTGTCTTTTACATTAAAGAGGTTGATACTTTGGAAATTAATGACGATCTTATGTATTTGTAGAATTTTTTGTCGTTTTTACTGTCGGCTATTGAGTTTTCATATCCATGTCTGGCGTCGTTTAGGGATTTCTTAAGCTCATTTGAGAAGGTTCTGTGAGTTTGTAAGTCGTTTATTTAACCGGATAGTTTATATTTACACCAGAGTTTATTTTTATATTTTATCAATAATAGTATATCGCTGCTTATCCATGGTTTCAATGAATTGCGGAAAATAGTTTTTTATCTCGTTGGAAGACTCTTATATTCCAAAAAGATATTATAAAAATTGTCCCACTTTGCACGAAAAGAGAAATCACTGACCATAGAAACACTTCAATATCTTGGAAAAGTTTTTGATGACAATAATAAGCAGGAACACCAATATCCAATAGTCAACTAGACCTTGCGAATTTAACGTCAATTCATAATATAAAAGAATTGAGAAAGTACATAACAAAGGTGTGAAGAGAACAACATTTTCACAGCAAATGTTGTATAACGTTTTTGCTGGATTGCGTTGAAGAGTTAATTTGTATTTAAACGTAAACTAACAACATTTTCAACAATTTCCGTATTTTTTTATACATTTTGATTACGATTTCGATATTAAGAGGAATTATTTCTTTTTTATGCAGTATCATTTGAAAATGTCAAGACATAAATGTAATTCTGTGGAAGTGGCTAAAATACTAACCCAAAATATTTAAATTACACAGCTTATTTAAGGTTTTTCTTAATGGCTTATTAGTAATTAATTTATTATTTACCTTGGATTCCACACCTTCCCTGTCGATTTTTGAATAAGCAACAACTCTATGTACTGTTTCTGATGCTGCAACTTCTGTATCATCGGAATTAGCTTCAGCAGCTTCGACGAAGGCGGACGACAGTTCACCGTTCAATTTGCTAACTGTTTGGGTTGCGACATCGTACATGAAGATTTCTTTGTCTTTTGTAGAAGAACCAAGACTGAAAATCCGTTAGATTAGGAATATTAAAAATATACAAAAATTTATTATACTTAAATAAATTTTAAGTCGGTGGAAAACATGGTTGTTACTGGAATTGCTAGAAACAGCTATACAGGGCAAAATTGTTTCAGTATTGTTATAATAAATCAAAATAATAAGATCTTATAAGCAATGCGGATTTCTCCTAAGTTTGTTCATAGCTGCTTCATAAAAGCCACACAGAAAGAAATAGGATTAATTTTGTTAACTGATTAAGTTATTAGTATCTATGAGATGAAATCAAGAAGATGTGGATTATTCCAATATGACTTGGATGTACAGATTTCAATTTTTTATATGTTTATCACAAACCGTAAACAAGGATCAAAAACATATCCTGTTAGGATTGAATATACCTATTAAATTTTTATTAAAATCAGTCTTTAAAGTTTCTGTGTATCGATGTAGGGGAATTTCTACGAAAGTAGCAAAACCGGACGACAAAAAATGCTTGCAAAAGGATTTTTTTATTGTTTATAGACGTGTATAGTTCGGGATACACTGAGAATGCAGTATGGCCAGGAATGGACAATATATTTCTAATGGGAGACCAGCACACTGTGTTGCATAATATCGCATCAAAAACTGTAACCTTTACTGCAAAAAAAAAAGATCCAGAACACATTGTGGTACCTATTATTATTTGTTGGCCAAAGAACCAACTGACTAAATTGGTTAGGCAAGCAACTTGTCTGCAGAATCAATCCAAGCGGCTTGGTTGCTTTCTGCATAATAGAGAATAGTGTTGGTGACAGTTCATTATGTGGTTCTCTGTAGAAGTGAGTGTAAATTATTAAAAATAGAAAAACGAATATTATTGTAATACAATTTAAATGATATTATTAGCATATCTCAAAGAATTCTTCTGATGACAAAAGCTATTGAATAGGAGAAGGAAAGCCCAAGTTTTGGTCAGGTAAATCGTGTATTAAGATAATAAATAGAAAAATGGATGTTGAGAATAAAAAAGTTAGCTCTTTAAAAACACCTAAGATACTTTCTAAAAAAAAACAATTTAAAATTTTTCTGAAAAACAAATTTCGAAGACACTTGCTGAAAAAGATATTAGAAAAACAAATGGGTCGTCCGGCATTATTTAAAGCCTTGTTAATACCACTGACGTTTGTAGATCATATCTACAAAATATCAACTTTTTTTCTCAAAGCGTTATTGTGCTGTAGCTAATTCTTTAACTGTGTATCTTGAGTGTTCATAAAAATGGATCCTGAAGACATTGTGGCAACTATTGGGGAATCTACAGTTTCTTATGATATAGTCAAACGCTGGTGTCGAGATTTTAAATGCGGAAGAACATCCTGTGAAAACCAGCATGCTGGTGATCCTCCCATAACGGTAACAACAGACAAAAATATTAAAAATGTATACGATATCGTACTGCAAGATCGATGAGTATGCATCAAAAACATTGTGGAAGATACTGGCTTATCATATTATGTGGTGCAAATTAAGTGTGAGCACTTCGAAAAAGACTTTTTAAAAAACAAAAATTTAAATGAAACCTTTATTAACAGAAAGCTAACAATGATCTGATCTTTTTTTATTCTGACTTATATTTATAATTTTAGTCCAGAGTGCAACGTAAGCGCTATTCTTGTGTTAGTCGGCGGGATTGTTTCCATAACTCCTCCGGGGCTAGATGAGAACTATGGGGTTGAACCAGAGTTCGAAATGAGCGGAAAATTCTTGAGGTCTATATCTTGAGGAGTTTCTTTCTTCTTTTTCTCGGTCAACTTCTTTGTAATGTAAAATTTAAAAGCTGCATAAATGATTGCTGAAATAATTATAATATATAATACAATTGTATAAAAACTTATTTTTTGAAAATGCACAGGGGATGTGTCGATGTCTTCTAATTTCAATTTATCTTCCTGGAGTGCACTATGAATATTGTTAAGTTCATCGAGCTTTATTGAGTTTATTTGCACTGGTTTTAAGTTTATTGTTGAGGTTTTAAAATTGTTTTTGAAAATTTTTAAACTTGGCAGTTCAATATTTCTAAAATTCGGATTTTTGGTTTCAAATGTTTTTAGAGAAAAACTGTCTATATTCACTTCACACAAATTATTAAGTTCTATTAAATAACTACCATTTATAAGGACATTGTCTAAATTTTTACCACATTTTTGTTTTGTAACCACACTGTGGGGTGTGATAACAATCCATTGGTTCTTTTCTAACTTCTGGATTTTTATTTCGCTGACATCTACTGGAATTTGTCGACATTTGTTGATAAATTTAGAATACTTCAACAGCTGTACTTCACAAGGGGAATTCGGAGATATTCTTAAGGTCTGGACATCTTGGCAGAGAAATCCATCTTGAGTAACTTCTTTGCACCCCAAGTTTAAAAGTGCATATTGCTGCTCATTTGAGAGAAGAAATTTGGATTGAGGAATAATGGTTTTAAAGGATTCTATGGAACGTATAGGTAGAGAGTACAGGTGATAGTAGTTATAATTATTGGATTCTACTATGGGTATTTCAAGTAGAAATACAATTTTATTATTTTTACTATAGCTTTTGATTTCGATTATTTTTTCAAAATTTAAAATATTATTTAAGGAGAGTTCAAATGGAAATTTTTCATTATTGTTAAGATTTTTACTAATTAGGGATATTTCAGAAAATAGTTCTGTAGGATCTGCAATAGCATTATGAAATGTATTAAGTTTTGAAAAGCTAATGGCTATCTCTATTTTTTCCAGTATGTCATATATAATTTGAAAACTAATAGAAAATTGTGAGACAATTCTTTCCAGTGCAAAGTAATGGAATGTTTCCGTTTTTTCTATATTTAAATTTTTAATTAATTTTTGTATTTCATTAATACGAGAGCTCAATATTAATTGATTATGAGCTAATAATTTAGAATTGTTTTTAAAGTTTTGAATTGAATTTTGTAAAATAGTAACTTGGTGCTCGATTAAAGTTTTAATTTTATTTTGATTGATAGACAAAGATGTTATGGCTTCGTCATATCGTTTTGCATCGTTTTGGTCTAAATTACCTGTTAAAAACTTTATTGTTGAACCGAGTCCATCGAAAAGGGATCTCTTTGATCTAGACTTCCAAAAAGGATTTAACTGATTTAATTGAATGGTTATTTTATTTTCGATAATTTGAATCATGTGATATGAGTTTTGAAATTCTTCTTTGAAACTAAAACTTTCGGGAGTTGTAGAGAGAGAAATGTTTAATTTATTATATTGCTCTTGCAATGTCAAAAAGTCTATTGTAATGTTTGTTATGTCATAAATATGTATAAATGTCCAAAAATTTGTTTTAACTTGTGCTGTTCCTAAATGAAGAGTGAGGAGACCTGGATTGTCGTTTAAGTTATGGAATTGAGGAATGTCTAGTCTTGCGGCTGTGGTCCAGAAGAGGAATCTGCAACAGGAGGTTTCCTTAATTCGTTTATGTGTATAATTTCTTTATGTAAGACTAATTTTTTATGTTTTAATGCTTCTCTGGAAATTTCAACGCGATTTCTATCAATAATTTGAGTAATTATGAAAGGTCCTAAAAATCTTTTATCTTTTTTATTTCGCTTTTTTGGATTTACTTTATAGACGGTTTGATTAACTTGGAATTCCGGATTAGTTTCACCTTTTTCGTTTCTTTTTTCAATAATTTTATTTTTTTTATCATTTAAATTCTTATGCACACCCTTGTAAACGTGTTCCAATTTTTCTTTATGTTTATTAACGTAATCTGTATAAAAATCATGAGAAAGGAAAATTTCGTTAGGATTTCTAGAGTCTGTGTGTCCGAAGGTAAGTTCAAATGGAGTAAAATTTGTCGAACTATGTATAGAGTTATTGTATCCAATTATTGCATAGTCCATTAAATCATTTTCATCTGGGTAAATTTCACGTAAAAGTCTTAAATGTTCAATTAATGTCGAATGTATTCGTTCAGCTATTGAGTTAGATTCATTGTGACCAGGAGTTGTGAAATGAACTTTAATTTTGTGTAATGCTAAAAGATTTTTTACTGTCTCGTTATTAAATTCAGTACCTTTATCTACTACAATTAGTTGAGGAACGCCAAATGAAGTGAAATATTTTATCAGTGCTTTACTGACATGAATTGCGGTTTTTCCTGGAATGAAGAATGCTTGAGCTAATTTTGTGAAAGCGTCAGTTAGAGTTAAATAATTTTTTGCATCGTAAGTAAATACGTCCATGTGTACAATTTGGAAAGGTTTTGTAGCTGTCTCAGTAAGCATTAGCGGAACATAGGGGTTTTGTCTGGCATATTTATTTTTTTGACAAATAGAACAAGCGTTAATATAATTTGTGATAGATATTTTCATATTTTTCCAATAATAATTTTGACGTAATTTTTCTAAAGTTTCATTAATACCTCTATGCGTTGTTTTTCCTTCATGGTAATTTCTAAGCAAAAGAATTTGTTCTTCTTTATCAGAAATAGTGTTAAGTAATTTTGTGCATTTAACTAATTTTGGTCCATTTTCCGAAAAGTGTTTTAAATAAACATTATTAAAATCTCTATATAAGTTTTCTCTATTAAAATGAAAGTAAAATGTACTTTTTAGATCAGTAAATTCAACTAGAAATTCAAATATAAATTTTTCATTATTGGTTTCTGGAATTTTAATTTTTATAATTTTTTGATTTTCATAAGTTTCGTGAGTGATATCGGTTTTTTGATAAAGATTTGGATAAACTAAAATTTGGTGTGTTTTATTATTTATGATTTCATCTAAGATGGGTATGCCGTTATTTGTTGTTTCGTTTGCTGTCGAATGTTGCGTCGAATCGTCTGTATCATCTGTCCAGTTAGGTTCAGGGGTATTTAATTCATTTCGTGTGTCATTAATTGTAGGAGGAGGAATTTTTATATTTGAAATTATATTAATTTTGGATTTATTCGTTTTATTTGTGGAAGGTTGTGTTTCTTTTGGAACATTTTCAG